ACAAAGAAACCTAAATTTCCATTTTGTGATCCTTATAATAAGTTGTGATGTAATTTTTATTTTCGAAATAACAAAAATCCTGTCCTATCTTTCATGTGTACTGTTACAAACTTGTAAATGTGGGCATAATTTGATAAATTTTCTCTTGTAATAAGGCTAAATATCTCACACCATAAATAATCTGTTCAATTAGAAAATTCGCGAGTAGATCCCGGAATTCTGACGAATTTTAGAGGGGAAATAACGGCTAATGTTTTTTCTATGGAAGCCTCGGTAATAAACGACTCTTTTGCAGATTTGGCGATAATCTTGATGACCATTTTGGTTACAAAATTAGAGTTCTGGGATTATGTCGAAAGTCCCGGGATTTCCTCGCCAAATTTATGTAAATAGGAGTGTGCCTCGTCAGAGAAATAGTAGAGATTGCTACTATGTTTGTGACTGTGCAATAGTGTGAATAGTGTAATAGTGTTGCGAGTCTCTTGTGAGTGTGTTGAACCGTCTAAGGTTGTATAGCCTGTGTTTTACACTACTATTTGAGCTTTAACTGAGAGTTAGAAATATCTGTATTTTCTGGAAAATTCCGCTAATAAACTTTTAGAGTGTTAAGGACTATTACCTTCATCTCCAAGCGAAACGAACCTCTGTGCACGGAACGTTTATGGTATCAGAATCAAGGGTGAACTGCATCGTTATAGATACATGTTTTACGGAAGAAAGATGTTTCTTTTTGTTGTTAACTTTACTTGCTTATATATCTTCCTCTTTTTTTAATTATTTCAAAACCATTCTAACGTAAAATACTTTTAATTATGAATCTGTAGCATGATTATTGAGAAAGTATTTTGTCGTTATTAAAGGCTGATTATTGTGAGTAGTTATAAATGAATGTTTCTTATAAAGGTATATTTCAAAGCCAACATGTCAAATTTCAACTCTGTAATTGCATTTCCACAGTTTGTAGAGCATATTTTTTCCAAGAAAGAAAAAAGTTAATAATTCTAGTACTAATTATCAAATCTCTTTTTTTTTTTCATTCTACTTCCTGTGCACTTTTTGAGTTCTTATGTTGAATTGATTTTGCTGATCAAAATATAATGTTTAATTGAACACCCAAAACAGCGATGGTGGACCTTAAGTTCTTTTTTTTTTAATATGGAGAAAAACTATTTCTGAAAAATGCCGCGTGCAGATTCCAGTATGTAATTTTTTAATAGATTATGAAGGAGCCGTGATTGCTCAGAGGATAGAGGATTCGCCTTCCAATGAGGTTAATCGGGTTCGAATCCCAGCGATGACTGGTCGATACGAATTCCGCATCCGGCTAGCACCGACCACTGCGCTGAATTAAAGTATCCTCAGTGGTAAACGGATCATGGATTAGAGTCCCCCTGCCATCAGGATAACCTTGAAAGGTTCTCGTAATCTTCCTCTCCATGCAACGCAAATGCGGGTCAGCTTCATCAAAAAGTCCTCCACGAAGGCAAATTTCTCCCAATATTTGACCCAAGAGTTCCATTGTCTTTTGGATTTTGATCAAAATTGCATGGCTGCGGAGTTGAACATTGGTAGTCGTAAACTAAAAATTTGTTCTGCTGTTCAATGACGGTAATAAAAATATAAAAAACAATGAAAACAAACAGTTTGATGGTACGGTATTTTTAAGACTTTCCAATAAGCCTTCCACACCGATCCGCTGCCTGCTGCACAGGGCTAATTGCACAAGTGATCCATAGCGTGTATACATAGTGATTGCATTTATGTTTGTGATCGATTTGATGATTGAAATGATAAAAGGAATTCATTTGTGCTATCCGTTTAGATTAAAAATAGCATGATAGTAATAAGTCTGTTTATAATTAAAAAAACAATATTTAATTAATAATTGTTACTTAATAATTAATGATTTTTATATTAGCACTTGAGATACTAATATAAAAATAACAGCCGAAAAATAGTTGTTAACTTAAATTGTATTTCAAAAACAAAACATGAGTACATTGAAAAATGCTATTATGCGATTCAAAGAATAAGATGTTCCGTTCAAAGTCAAAAATTTTATTGCGATATAAATTATTTCCTATTAGATTACATTTTATGGAATTTTTAAGCATAAACTATTTTGAAATTCTTAATTTTCACAATACTGCACGCACGGAATAATCACATAGAGCACAATAAGCATAATGTCCTGCCATTCAGCTTTTTTTTTAAAGTCAAAATCGGGTTTTGTGAAGATTGGGTTTTGTCGAAATTGGGTTCTGTCATAGTCGGTTCTGTCCTAGTCGGTACTGTCACAATCAGGAGTGAATCAAAATTAGGTTATGTCCATAATTGGACTAATTATGCACAATCTGGGAATCCTAACTACGCACGTAAAATAAAGTTTGTGTTAGTTAGCCACCCTTTGGAATTGTCTGTGTAGAGTTCTCAGAAAGTTCACAATCCGGCTCAAGAAACAAAATATCCTGCCCAAGAGCCAAATTAATGCCAATTTAAGAGCCAATTTAATGGAAATTCTAACCATATGCATTATATAGTTCATGGATTAGACACCATTTTGAAAAGCTGTCCGTAGAGAGTTCACAAGCAGCTCAATATCCAAAATGTCCTGCAATTGAGCTGAGGGTTTTTTATGTCACAATTGCGTCTTGTCGAAATTGGGCTTAAAACTTAATCAAATTTGTCACACGTTTTGGGAATATACTAACATTACACGTTATATCATATAAAGTTTGTGTGTGTCAGCCCTCTCGTGAAAATCACCACATAAATGTCCATGCAGCGTTTTCGGAGTTTTACAATTTGGTTCAATGAACAAAATGTCCTGTCCAAGAACCAAATTTTTCATCAAATCATTTTTTTCAGTCTGTGTCGTTATCATGTTTTATGAAAAATTCAAGGAGGATTCAACTTGAATCTACGAGAAATGGTCTCTTTAAACCCATTTCTCATTTTTCCATTTTTGGAATTCTTCAATCGAATGTAGAAAATGGGGCGTAGAAAATGCCACATTTTTCAAATCAAAGTTCATGAATCCATTCTGATGGAAGTCAAGTGCCATTTGTTCCAAAATGATTATATCCCAATTTTTAAGTGGAAACTTCCAGTTTTTTGCCTCTTTTGGCTTTTCCACTTTTTCATCATCCATATCCTTATCCTCGTTTTCAATATATTGAGCAGATGTCGTTTTTTCTGCCAATTTCTCCCCTTCTACTTCGCCAACATTTTCAGCGCCATTCTCATTCAGATTTTGAACCTCATCCAGAGCAGTTCGCTCTTGCTCAGCCGTTTTTTGCTCTGCAAGCACTTCGGCCCAGTCTCTCAACTTAAACTTGCAATCATCTTTCTTTCCCCTTGAACTAAACAAAAAAGAATATGTTAATTTCTTTATAAATTTTAATTGAATAATTACATGTTGATTAAAAGTATTATTTTTCTGTTTATTAATTATATTGCTTGAAAAAATCTCGCTACTTGTATTATACATTTGTGACTCTTTGTTACTTTTATAATGCGATTCTACGATGATTAATTCAGGAGTTTCTATTTATAATAATTAGAAACTCCGAACAGATAAACTCCTAACGAAAAAACAGGATAATTATTCGGAAAGTTATTTAATTTGATAAACTTTTTTTTCGCGTAAATTTTCTTTTTTGGTTAGTTTTTGCTATATTTCAAAATTATCTTTAATCTAGTCGTAAAATTATACATTGCTTAAGTTTTGACTGTAATAGATTTTCCTACTGAATAAAATTCTTTCCTCACTGTTTCAATGTAATAGCTGTTTCAATGCTGCCATCAAATTACGATTTTAACACAGTTGCTCGGCGAAAATCTAATGCTCTAATATAACAGTAGGTCCATAGTAAAACATATCACAAACAAGTTGTCATTTTATTTAGTTTATATACTCAAATTTGTATAGAGTCCTTAAAAATCTTAAAAAGTGATTGCAAAATTAAGAAAGTAAGATGTATTCAAATAAATTTTCAATGCTCACCGCTGTTAATACTTGTAAATAAATGATCCAAAGTTCAACACGCATTTGATGTAAAGTGAACGCTAATAAAAAGATGCTTGTAAATTTTTTACTGTAATATTGACTTTTTAAATTTTTTAAAGATAGTAAGTATCCTGTTTATATTATAACATTATTATTTTTTCTACTTTGCATTAAACAAATGATTTATTAAGCACATTTGTAGAAATACACTTTTTTCCTGGAGCCTAACAGAATTTTACATATTGGCAGTTATTTTTTTTTTTTTGTAGATTTTTCTATTCTGTTTATAAATTCCAAATCTCTTAAAACACAAGTAGTTTTCGAGGAATTTTCTAGGAATTTTCCAGCTGATCTCAACACAATTAATACTAATATACTAAATGTTATTAAGATTTTTTTTTTTTTGATTTGGGATGCAATAGCTATGATTGCATTAAATAAAAGCTCTAATATCAATAAAATCTCAAATCGAAAACTTGTGAAAAAAATCTGAAATTGATTTTCAGGTTAGTTCTTTGTGGAAATAAATATATTTATGCGTGAATAAGTATACTGTAAAATGAACTTAATGTGCATTTTTTATTTAGCACATTTGTAGAAATAAACTTTTTTTCGTGGAACCATTACAATTTTACAATTTGACAGTTAATTTTTTGCAGATTTTTCTATTCTGTTTATAAATTCCAAATCTCTTAAAATACAAGTAGTTTTCGTTTAGGAATTTTCTAGTAATTTTCCAGTTGATCTCAGAACAATTGTACAAAATGTTATTAAAATATTTTTTTATTTATTTGGGATGTAATAGCTATGATTATATAAAAGAAAAGCTCTAATATCAATAAAACCTCTAATAGAAAACTTATTAAAAAAATCTGAAATTGATTTTCAGATTAGTTCTTTGTGGAAATAAAAGTATGCAAAAGTATGCAATAAAAGTATGTAATAATAAGTATGCTGCAAATTTAACTTAATGTGCAATTTTTAAAAATAGGGGGAATTGGAATGCTAAAACTTACGGTAAAAGTTTCAAAAATGATAACAAAATTATATTTATTCAACAACAAAAATATACTACGACATTTTGCTGCTTGAATGACGAATATCTTTTATACGATTTTATTTTACTTTAGGAAGTTGAAAATTACTAATGTGCAATTTTTAAAAGTAAGGGCTATTAGAATGCTGAAACTTACGGTAAAAGTTTTAAAAATGATAACAAAATTATATTTATTCAACAAAAAAATATACTACGACATTTTGCTGCTTGAATGACGAATATCTTTTATACGATTTTATTTTACTTTAGGAAGTTGAAAATTACTAATGTGCAATTTTTAAAAGTAAGGGCTATTGGAATGCTGAAACTTACGGTAAAAGTTTTAAAAATGATAACAAAATTATATTTATTCAACAAAAAAATATACTACGACATTTTGCTGCTTGAATGACGAATATCTTTTATACGATTTTATTTTACTTTAGGAAGTTGAAAATTACTAATGTGCAATTTTTAAAAGTAAGGGCTATTGGAATGCTGAAACTTACGGTAAAAGTTTTAAAAATGATAACAAAATTATATTTATTCAACAAAAAAATATACTACGACATTTTGCTGCTTGAATGACGAATATCTTTTATACGATTTTATTTTACTTTAGGAAGTTGAAAATTACTAATGTGCAATTTTTAAAAGTAAGGG